TATATATATATATATATATATATATATGAATAAAGAATAGAGCAGGTGCCAAGGATATTTGGGGGAAGAGAATTTTTCCATGTGAGGTCCATTTGAGTAATGGAGAAAGCCTGCTGTGAAAAATACTGTGGTTCCTACTGGTTCTCCAAGAATCCCAGAAGCCACCAGAAAATCACTTTGAAATATTTTGAGCTCAAAATGCATTTTATTTCTGAACTCCATCTCCTGTCAGAGACCTTTTCCTCCTTTAAATTGTTGTTGTTTTTATACCAAGGAAAATGATAACTGTTCCTTCTTTGCTCAGTCGATGGTTGAATAAACAAGCTTATGAAGATAGAATGGGGAAGACTTGTTACATTTCTAAGGCGAAATAAATGTTACATTTTTTTCAGTTTTTCTTAATTTGGAATTTATGTTAACGTCATCCAGCTCTCAATTTTTTTATTTAATATATTCTTTGTTTGTCTGTTTCTACACTTATACCTTATTAAAATTCAAAAGAGTGTAGGCTACATCATATAGTTCGTTTGATTTAATCATTAGATTACATGACACCAGTTATTCGCCATTGCTGCAGTTATGCTCTTAACATGACTTCATTCCACATCATGAGCACATCCTGTTTAACTGTAGAGATAAAGAACCTGGCTTTGTTTAATGGCTTTTGGCTTTTTGTTTAAGTCAAAGATAAACAAAAAGAAATGAATGATATTTCATAGACGGCCTAAAATGATACCCACGCTGGATGTTTTGTTTGAAATATTTCGATTAGAGATAGGAAATAAATACCCAGAATATTTATTTTCTTGTGAAAAGTTAGTGAATATCACACAGGATAATGACAAATATTATAACAATTGCTCAAACCAAACCAATGGCTTCACCCCTGATATTGTGATAACTAACTAATACGAATAACATGCTTAAGAAAATAAAACTGATATTTTATACAGTATTTGAACATATTTATGATGGGGACATGACAGTCCTACAGCACCTACGCGCAACAGCCGCTTCTGTGCCGCACGTGATCTCCATGGAAACGTCATCAAGCTCGAGAAGTGTTGTGCGCTAGCTGAGCATGGCAGCGAAGGTAAGCGCTATTCTCGCACAGGAACAGCTAGGCTTTCTGCAGATAAAGGGAGCTCAGAGTTAGTTTGATCGTGAAACATCCGTATATATCCAGAAAACGTCATTGGAGCATACTGGAGAAACGCGGGGGAGATTAACTGATAACCTTCAGTACATAGTAGCCGGTGTGATAGAGCTAGTTAGTTAGCCTGCTAATGTCCTGGGTGAATGTTAGCGTCTCTCAATGACATTGAGACATACGAGCACTTCAGAGAGCTCGGATGAAGCATCAAACTCCTGCAGACATGCTGTCCAGCATCTGCTTGAGTGCTTGAATGGGTGTCATGGGGTTTATAGGATGCTAAACATTCTTGAAGTGAGCTGAAGTTGAGCTTGACATTACAAGTGCTTGCCTGCTGGGTTCCTTAGATATAAGATGCTTTTAATAATAATACCAATAATTAACTGTGATATGATCATCATTACCACTGGAATGTAATTATAAAAAAAACTTTATTCTAAAATAATGTTCAAACAGAGCACAAGGCCTAATGTATATATGTAGATTCATTATGAATGTTGATCATAGTGTGTTTGTCTCTACAGGTAATGATAAAGAGGGCTGCTCCAGCAGAACTCAAGTCCATTTTTTTGAAGGTACGTCACTGCTTATCTCCCTTGAAACTAAAGTCTGGAAATGAAGGAACGGGAGCCGTAGCCCAACATCTAAGCACTGGTGTCAATGACGTATACCTCTATCTGATGTAACTATTTAATAAATTTCTCATTACAGAAAGAAAACCTGAGGATTAATTTAAAAATGCATCGAGCACTGTATGGAACTCATGGTAAGTTCACATGAATATACGAAGTGGAGTTCCTTAAAAGCACAAGAAAAAACTTTGCATGAATAACGTATTTTAAGTAGCATCTTAAATTAATCTAACAGCAATGATCAACAAATGAACACATGCTTAATTCATATTCCTTTCAATAATCAACTTTTTTCTTTCCTTCTGATATCTGCTTTTAAGTGTAGAAAGTACCTTCTGTATGATTGTAAAATGTTTTGCTCATGTTGTCTTTAACTATGAAGATAATGTTTCTTTGATTATATTGTCCTGGGCTTTTAATACTAAAATATATATGACTACCATTTTGATGCGATATGTGATTTTAACTGAGATGTATTTTGCCATAATAATAATCTTCATGAAATACTACATTGTACAATCACTGTATTAAGTGACTCTTTCAATGACTGCTTTGAGTTTGCTGTTTTTTTGTATAAAATACATCATATTTTATGTAAATCAGATCGCTGATATTTTGTTTACAAACACTTAATGAAGTATTGTATTCACAATATCTATTCTGTACTGCAGTGGCATCAACATTATATATATATATATATATATGATATTAACCCAGGTTTCTTTCCATTCACAGTACGCCAGTGTGGAGAAGAATGGAGAGTACTACATGTCCCCAGAGGACTTTGCGTCCAGGTTCATTCATGCACAAACAGACATAAAGCTTTCTAAGGAGGCCACTGTTTTACTGGCAGGTGTTGTGGACCAGACCAAAGATGGGTTAGTATTTATTTCTATTGCTGCTTTTAAATTTGTATGTTCCACTTGAACCTTTAGTAGGTACTAGTTTGGAAACAAATCAAACGTTGCTACCAAACAAAAAATAAAAATGCCCCCTAAATAATACTGTTGAATGTTCAGTTTTTAAATGACAATGACCAACACACAGCGTGAATTTGTGTTTTTCATTAATAATTCACGACTTGTGTAAATTACAGTTTATAGTTCATTTGATTCATAAACAAAGCCTTTGCTGTGAAATGGATGTGGATTATGCTGTGGGATCTTCCGCTTTTAATCCTGCATTAGGATGAAGGGTCAGGCATCTTAACATGCCACACTTTGTTCAGGTGCTGCTCCATTCAGGCAGCATGGCTCAACCCCTTTTTGCATTAATATGTATGCTTTTAATGATACATAATGATGGCCAATGATACTCAAGCGTAAGTCCAAAATGATTGTGCGTTACTATGGCAACCAGCCGTGCTGCGTTCTGCGCCGAGTGCATGTGGTCATGCGGCACACATTATTAGGGCTGCCATAGACCGGGAGAGGTACACACGCACTGTAATTGCCTGTGCCATTCAGCTCTCATGCTTTGTGCGACTTTGAGGATGGATAAATTGCTGCATCTCAGCTATTAATGGATAACTATTAGGGAATCATGGCTTGAGCTCTCTTTCTCAACATCATTTTTTATTTATTTGTAAGGCTTTGAGTAAAAAAATAGGAGGATTGTTTGATTTAATCAACATTATGGAAAAATATCCATAGAGAGTATGTTGGTAAGCATTGTCTTTTCGGCTTGTCTTTGGATTTTTCATGTTTTTTTGCACAATGCATGTAGGTTCCTGAGCTAGTTAAATAAAGATCTGGTTGTATATAGATTTCTGTGGTTTGTTCGTAGTGGCAGCTGTGGTCAGGACCTTCATGCCGTCAGAACTGTGGAATTTTGCAAATGAAGAAATGTTCATTTTGAGGCCTTCGGCCCAGAATTATGATGGAATGAAGTCCTAACAGCAGTTTATATTTGTTTTTATATAAATTTATGTACAAATGAAGCTCGTTCTAATATTGAAATGTATTCAGAATCATAAAATTTCAAGAGCTAAAAGCTCTTATCCATCTCTAGCTAAATCTGTTTGTGTGGGTGCTGATGTTTTTGCTGAACACGATATGTTTTTACAACCGAGGTAGGTTTTCATCTGATTGAGATGATTCACAGGTTATCTGTTTCATGAGATGGATACAAACAGCATGATGCATTTTCTACCTCCTCCTGAGCTGGAATAAATCAAGTGATATGGTGACATCCATCAGGCACTGAATCATTTCTCCTTTATTCACTCAGCCCTGTTTGAGCGGCATCCTGCCAACGGTTCTGAATCATTCATTCAACACATGTAGACTTCCCTGCTGATTCAAAGATCTGCCAGACATTCTCTCCTTCTCTCGCTCTATCTTTTCTCCCCTCTCCATTTTTGATGGAAAAACTCCTCAAGTGTGAAACACTGTAGCCTCTTGGGGGTTAAAACTTTGTAAAGAGCGCATGCTGAGAAAATGGCAGTCCGTGCCCATGTGGTTTCAGGCTGGTCTGAGGTATGCACTCAGGGAAAGCTAAACCAGCCTGCGTCCCTCTGCATCCACACTTGTCAGTGACAATGACAGGGCCAGAGCTTATTGAAGGTGCTCTCTCTTCACCTGTCACGGATAAAAGCTACTACGCTAAACCACTGAAATAATAAGTCTGTAAATAGTGTTTCTGCTAAGGACAGTGTTTACCAGCACCTTTCTGTTTTAGAAACAACACAATTTAAAGGTGCATGGCACCCACTGGGAGATAAAGGGAAATGCTTTGTACAACATGTATATGCCTGTTGTGATTAGCATAACACATTGAAAATTGATAGCAACATAATATTACAATTCTATGAAAAATAAAGAACAAATGTATTGATTTATATAGGATGTTTCTCTCCTGAGTTTTGATGATTGCAACATAAGATCAAGAATTTAAAGGTTTTTGAAACGTTTCTTTTAAGCCCACTAAGTCTGCATTTATTTAATCAAAAATACAGTAAAAACTGTAATATTGTGAAATATTATTACAATTTAAAATAACAGTTTTCTATATTAATATATTTTAAAATGAAATTTATTCCTGTGATGGCAAAGCTGAATTTTCAGTGACCATTATCCCAAGATTTGGTGCTTTCTTATTATTATCAGTGTTTAAAACAGTTGTGCTGCTTAATATTTTTGTGGAAAATGTGATGCATTTTTTCAGGATTTTGTTTTTGAAGAATAGAAAGTTAAACTGAACATTTATTTGGAAAAACTCTTTTGTAAGATTATAAATGTCTTTACTGTCACTTTTGATAAATTTAATGTGTCCTTGCTAAATAAAAGTACTTATTTCTTAAAAAACAAACAAACTACTGACTACTGACCCCAAACTGAATGGTGGTGTATTTTATAAGATTTTCCCGTTTTTGTGTGTTTAGAAAAACAAATTTCCACATGAACTGCCCATATTATTAAACCATTTCAGTATCATATTTGAGAAAAGTTTTTGCATTCCCCATGTTACCTTTCTGGTTGTGTGCCATTTTAGTTGATGGTTGGAAGATGTTTTGCATTGGCCTTATTACTTGAGCTTCAGTTTAGTTTGTTTTTCATGGCGACGGCATCTTAGTGTGTCTGTGTATCAGCGTAATTGTTCTCTAGTAGTCAAGGAACTGCTAATCAACCATCATAAGCCTCATGTCTGGAATGGCGCTGGGGAAACTACATGCACAACTCATTTTTGTGTATGTTGATAGGAGGGTATTTAATGCAGATACGCTCCCAAAATCAATTACAGTGACCATCAAGCTGATCTGATATGAAAGTAATACCATCTGGTGATTAGAAGTCCATCGTTTCTTTCCAATGGTTTCTCGTGTTGGTGATGCATTTTAATCACTTGCTGAGTTTTGGTAAACTTTTTTTTTGTAAAAGCAGCATCTGTATCATTTCTCATTGCTTTTTGTTTTTAATCATCAACGCCTGGGCCCAGCGGATCGCCTTTGTAGCTCTCCACCCACTCTGAAACAGCAGGCTCCTGTTCTACTGTCAGCTTAGTTCATAAAACAATTACTCTTGACTCCACAATGTGGCTGATTTGGCATGCTGGAAGCACACAAATTCTCAGTTCCTTTAAATTTCATCAGTAACAAAATTAATTAGAGTGGCCACGAAAATGTAATCAATGCTCCCTGGAAATTGAAATAAATTAGAGATGCATGCATTGGGACTGCTCGTTAGCAGTGACCTCGAGTAATTGCTGTATCCATTTGTGAAATTCATAATGGAGTTGAGGCAACTTTGAACTGCGCTTAAATAAAGACTAGATTGCATGGTCCCCAGGGTTTCCTATGAATGCTGAAATTGCTTATTTGGTGAGGTAGATACATGTGTATGTGTGCGTTTGTGTGCATGTTTATGTGTTTTCTGATGTTCGGCAAATGGCATGGTCTCCATTATGATTCAAACTTTTAGTCATTTGCAGAAGTAGAGCCGTTCCCCTTTTATTGATACCAATTTTTAAAAATCTTTCTGCTGGTTTACTTGATTAGTTTTTGAACAATAGCACCCATTCATCCTCAGTGTAAAGTGAGCACACATATAGGAACTAATTAAATAATCTTAAAATTGTTATATTTAATAATAGTGGCAAATATAAGAAGGCTTCCTATCTCTTTCTCAAAATGTGCGCTAGCAGTCAAAAGTTTGGGCACACCTAATCAATAGCAAGCCTTTTTCCTTTACTATATCTGGTTCAACTCATACATTAAAAAACAAAATTAAATTAATATTTTAGTTTTGTAAAGAAATTCATACGGAGGTGCAATATCTGTTGCATTCATATCATTGTTATATAAATAATATATTTATATAAAAAATACATGCATACAATACATATTTTTTAACTATATATATTTTAGTTTATATATTCATTTATTTTGAACATTTTTAGTATAAGCCTATACATGAAGCTTTTTAAGACCATAAAAAAAAAACACTGTGTCTCCTTTTGACTGGTAGTGTATGTGTATTCTAGCAATTCCTGAGCATTTCCTTACTGTACTGCAGCATGACTTGTTGGTTCTCTTGTAATCACATTATTTACGGAGTTCCCATCCTGGGGGCTTTATATGAACTGGTCCCATTTTCAGTAAGGTAATGACATTTGACAGTCAAATTGGAAGCACTTCAATCAAGATTGGGATCATTGAATAGCCTGTTATGTCAAATTGTTTTGTCATTCACTTAATCTCTGGGCCTAGAATCGAAGCTGGACTGTGTGTTTAGATGTTTTGTACATCATAATTTTAGGCTGATAATTACAGTTGAACAAATCACTCAAGTGTCAAGTGTTCACAATGAAAATATGTGCTACCTTTTTTTGTTTGGCGATGAGAAGCAGTAATCAGTGAGTGATACCCTCTCATCATTCAATAATGCAATGCCATGCTGGTGAAGTGAAGTGTCCACAATATGTAGGCTGTAAGTCTGTTTGTCTCCATCAGGTTGATCTCCTTCCAGGAGTTTCTGGCTTTTGAGGCAGTGCTGTGTGCTCCGGATGCTCTCTTCATGGTTGCCTTCCAGCTCTTCGACAAAGCTGGAAACGGAATTGCCACTTTTGGTAAGTGTACAACACTCTTCATAAAACAGAGTTCCAGCTTAAAATTCTGATTGTATGATCTAACTTTTGAAGCGGTTGTAAAATGTTCATAAAAGTTCACCTGTGATTGCACACATTCTGTGTAAATGGGCCTAGTTGCTGTGCTGTTTGGCAACATCAAACAGGCTACAGTTACGAGAATTAACTATATTACTTGGCAGAAAAGCTGCTTAATAGTACATGTAAATGTTTTTTGAACATTGGAGTCTTGTATTAATCTAAAGTTGCCATGATTTATAAAGGTCAAATATATATTTTATTTAGTCACTCAAAGCCTTGCTAGTCACTTCACTTTCTGTAAAAACAACCCTGTTTTGTTTTGCTTTTTGTTGGTTTTGTTTAGTGGTTTGGTTTGGTTTGTTAATTTTCATTACATGAGTATCCTTGTTTTGGCCTAAACTGTATTTATATCAGCTGAATGTCTAAATCAGTGAGGTTATCGAGTATAATTCCAAGGCACCTTATGTTCAGTCACCGGCCTCAAAACAAAGGGCTAATGCTAAGTAGTCTAATCTGAATGCTTGCTTAGACCAACAGATTCCTGTCACTTAAAGTACTACAGGATCAGTAAAGGTAAAACTCTTAATCGGGTTTATTCATCCACTGCCAGAGATCTTCAAAAGGCAGATCGATTTCAAACAGTCGCTATAGTGGACATCAGTATAATCTTCCGCTTTACATTAATTGCAGTTATTTGATTCCAGATAAGAATAAGAACCAAGGATAGTAATGCACAAATAAGATGAGAAGTTGCTTTTGCAGTTATATTCATGTTGCAAAAGAACTTGGCACAGGAAGAATGCATGTGTGTATCTCATGCGTTAAATTTCCCTAATTGATTTAAATAGTCTAATTTGCCTTTTGTAGGTGAGACCTGTCAGATCAGCTCATTTCAAATGCACTACCCGAAGTGTCTAGGCGGAGAGAAAGAGACTTTCATCAACCTGTTTTAGTCAATAGGGAATAAGATCAGATAATGCATGCACATGTGCATATTTCGTATCGAAATGACTCAGTTATTTAGAAGTGATGTTTCTGTGCCGTTCAAAGGTCTCTTGTTGTTCATGTCGTCAGTAGTATGTCTGGGTTGAGCTGTAATGAGAACGTATAGGCAGTAGTCATCTCATACACCTGTTTTTCTACTGCTGCAATCACGTCAACATAAATAGCAAATAACTTCTGACTAAGATTATGGTCATGTCAGAATCACTTTATTGTGATGCACTACAGAGGGTAGGAAAATGAAATGCCGCTCTGTGTTAAAGCAAACAGGAGACTCCCGTTTATAACCCTCTTAATGTCATTAAAAGCATTAAAGGTCTCTTGCTGTTACATTAAACAGTCTTTTTTCGCCATTTAATAAACCCTGTCATTGCAAGTCATATTATGAAGGAGTATTTTTTAAGGGCTTGGAAAATGTAGGTTTTAATGAATGAATGACTAGGGTATTTTTTTTTTCTTTTTCTCCCCCCTTCAACTTCAATTAGGAGAATTAGAGGTATTAAACTTGCAGGCTGCCATACGACTCCAAAGCGATATAAAGAAAGAAGGACAGAGAAGTGTTGACAGGTTCATAAACACTGATAAAATAAAGGTCTAGAGTAGCTCCACAGTGGAACTCTGTTGTAATGCAATATAAAAAGCATCTGCTAAATGACTGCTTACTGTATATATATTGCCATAAATGGGAAAAACCTGTTGGACCTGCAGCGCTCCATGAGAAATGGAGAAAAACCGCCAACCCCATTTTTCTTTGCTTTTATTGTCATCTTCATTGCAAAGACTTATTTTGTTTCCCACTTCTGTTTAGCCTTTTATTTTCTAATTTAATGTTTTATTATTAATTATATGATCAGCATATGAGTTAATGGTTGAATTGAAAAATGAACTTAAATGTCAAAATATCTTTTTTTTTAATTTGATGAATGCCACAGGTTTGTGTAAAACCTGTTGATCTTGTTCTCCAGCATGATTTGACATGATCCAAGAGCAAGAACATCTGTATTTCTGTATAAAGAGTCAAGTTCAGTGTCTTAAATTTACATGTTTAGTGACCTACAAATAGTGCCAAATCTTAAACCATTCTTGTTTTTTATTAGTATTTTTTCAAAATGTTTTATGTATATTTTCATGTTTAAATGAAAAACAAAAATATCTGTTTGATGCCTTGTATTTCTAAACAAGGTTTACTTTTAGACCCATGTTTTAGAGGTACTATCATTAAAATCTAACAATGCATAGTTTTGTAACTCAATCCTCAACAATGACATTTCTGACGCAAGGCTTATCTCTGATTTCAGAGGATGTGAAACAAGTTTTAGGTCAGACCACTATTCACCAGCACATCCCTTTTAACTGGAACTCGGAATTTGTTCAGCTTCACTTTGGCGCTGAGAGGAAGAAACACCTTAACTACGGGGAGTTCACTCAGTTTCTGCTGGTGTGTAAGACTGCTGTCTAATCTCTCTCTGATCCACTTGCACCCCACCTTAACCGCCACGTACTCCCAAACACGTTCACTTTCATACTATCCCAGTCTCATACTTTCCTTCACCGCCGCAGAGCTCAGATCAATGTAGTGTCTTATTTGGTATATTTTGTGCCTGATCTCGTCTAGATTGACACACAGTTCTGGGCACCATTTCCCGCAGCACAAAGAGGCATATTGACCTAGTTAGTCATTAATGAAACACTGGAGTTATATTCCTATGCCAGCATTTGTTTCCAATTAGGTGACGTAACCTCAGTGCAGTCTAGCGATTCCCCTAAAACAGGTAAAGGTTTTCTCCTACAAGAAGAATAGCAGTATTCCTTTTGTATTTGTGATGGTGTGTAAGACATTTTCCAATATAACGTCTAGACCTGAGAGTGGGCAGAGGGAGTGTGAGGGGTCGGCTGTGCCAAGTTCGCATCTACACTCACTATATCTGAATGAGCTTTTTATATTAAACTTAACTGGGTCCAGATGGGTTTTTGGGAAACTGCGAGAAACACGCCGATATTGTGTTTGTGGCCAAGACGGGATTAATTTTGTTTTTGGAACTTGAAAACGATGAAAAAACACATTTCCTGTTTCATTTATTTCATTTTCTTTGAATTGGCAACTTTTTTAGGGTTGTTTGGAGTGATTTGAAAATCCGGTCAGTGTTAACTGTTAGATTTTATCCACTACAGCACTGATACAATATCACGCAGCACTGTAAAAATGAACCAGCAGCTTCACGTATGAGAAAAAAAGCTGCAGATTCAGATTTACTCTCAATGAAATCCACAAATTATCTGAATTATTTTCCTTTCCTTTATGAATGGATGCTTTCCAACACTGACTTCATGTCAATATGACCACCTACAAATATGTCATGTCGGAAATCTGGCTCTGCTGTCAGAAATGGTATTACTGACATAGCCAAAGGTCTTAACATCCTGCAATTTCTTTAACCTGAACATTGATGATGAGATCTTTAAGACTTCTCAGATATTTTTTAGCGGCTGTTTCGCTGTTTTAATGCCAGCGCTTGAATTACAATAATTGACCCAAACAGAGGTGGCTCCTCAAATGTTGTTATTTGAATCCAAAGACAATTAAAGGCACAATAAATGCCATGGTGGTTTCAATATTGGCTTTCGTAGGTTCAGTTCTTCTCCTCTCTAAATAAAAAGCATGCTTTTGAAATACTCACAGTTGCAGTAATTTAAGGTTTTTAAGAAGCTAACTAAACTGTAAGGTTTAGATCCACTATTATAATGCAATTCCACATGCTTGTGGCTGGAGCAGCACAATGCAAGACAGGAAAAATCTGTAGCCAGATAATAATTTGCTCTAACTCTGCCCTTGTTTTATTTATTTACACTGCTACTGGCATTTCCTCCTTGTTTAAAACATTGTTTGTGTGTTTTTGAAAGGCACAGGAGCATGTACAGTATAAGATGTAAAGTCAAATTCTTTGTTTTTCCAGCATTTGCTTTAATGTGATTTGCAAATATTCAAATAAGTATATTGATGTGAAAAATAGGTTAATAATAGTGAAATTACCAGCAACAATCTGTAACTGTATTATTGCTGTATTTTTATTAGGACAGTGACATTTCTATAATATCAGAAATAGGTTAGCATGGAGTCTGACATTCAAAGCTTTGACATTTTCTCTAATAGTGTTTTGTGAGCAGACGTTTCTTCTATACGAAGTCACGTCTATTCGCACAGCAGACCTATATTTCTAGGATTTTGGAGCGGTAGCTCAATTATGCGGGAAGAAAGAAAAACAACTCTCTTTAAAAGCCTGAGATGTGTAAGAAAGTCATTCTCGTCTCCTGATGTGATACTGCAGCCGTTTCAAATGAGTTGCGCAATCAACAAAATGAGAGTT